CAAAAATGCCGTAGGGGATGGAGAAGACGATGACACTGAAGAAGGCCCTGAAGAGGCCCCACAGATCAAGCCGGCACTGTCAAAGGCTGAGAGGAGTCACATCATTGTATGGCAGGTGTCTTACGTACCCGAGTGACACAGGAATGGCAAAATGGCCCCTCCCTCCCTGTGTCTAACCCCACCTTGCCATGCATGTCCTCTCCATCTCTAAGAGCTCGATGGCAACCGCCCCTGTAGCTCACCGGCCAGAGGTGAAATCTGCTGCCCTGCTGAAAACTCATCTTCAGAACCAACACCCTCCCCACCTTAAAATCCGATACACTGTTATTTAATTAAATATACTATTTTAATGTCTTTAATGTCTTGTACTTTACTTCTGGCCACATGGGGCGGATGTATAACGGGGAATTACTTCAGCTCGTCCCCTTATCTGCCTAAATCATAAACCAGAAGCCATTAGGAATGACAGTCAGGGTTAGAATGTCCTGCATAAAAGGACAATTTGGAAAACTTTGAAAGAAACGAAAAAGCTACAAATACAGGAGAGATGGGATGTGCGTCAGTCGATAGGAACCCATGGAAAATGAAATAAAGAGACAAAGAAAGATGAAAGTTTACAGGTTATTTTAACAACATGGCTAAAAGCTGGAAGTCATGCATTCAGATGGTTATGTATTTGCTGTATATTTTACGACGGGCAGTTTTTTGAAGGATATTACACGCTAAACGCACGACCTGAATATTAACCCTAAATAGCAGTAAATTTATCATATTCTGTAAAATGAAGCAGAAAGGTTGGAAGACTTTGAAAATGCATGTAGCAAGATAATTATATATTCTGGAGTATATTTTAATAAACAGAGTTGGTAATTCTAGACGTTTTTCCTACCGTCAAAAATATTCACTGAGATATATTTGGTACTCTGAATGGATTCAAAACAAATGCATTCCAGTATATCATTACAGAAATATATCTAATTTCCCCATTTGGGAAGATCGTAATAATCTAAAATGACACAGTCAGGGTTTGTAATGTATATCGATCATAAAGTTTCACAATAAGAGATATAAAAGAAAAGTCAGTTTGTCAACATAAAGAGCTCATAGGTTGCACTTTTTGGTACAACATGGAGCACATGCTATTTTTAATGGTAAATGTTTTGGGGACCAACACTGTATAAGCTTAACAGTGAAGTACATGTTTTGAACTGCAGGAGACCACCCACCAAAGAGGTATACTCAGCACTAAACCATAATCATCAGTTAACCCAACTGGCGAACCGCCAAACATAATACCCTATCTTCAAAAAATGAAGCTGCTGTGTTTTTCTGTACTGACACTCTATAGCCCAGGGGTACCCAATCTTATCCGCAAAGGGCCGGTGTGTGTGCGGGTTTTCGCTGCAACTCCCTAATTAGATTACTAATTAGAGGACTGATTGGCTGAAACACCTGAGTTTGAACAGCTGACCTACAGGTTATCCCAAAAACCTGCACACACACCGGCCCTTTGCGGATAAGATTGGGTACCCCTGCTAAAGCCTGTTCGCAGTTCACACACCACCTGACGGACTACTGCCCCCTTGTGGCCAGTTGTAAACAGCTTGTGTCCAATCGGTTTTTCCAGCCTCTTAATGTGTTAATGATGTAAACCTTCCTACAAGTAAAGTGGCAATGCTGTTGCTACAGCTATAAGCTGTAAAGGCACTCCTACTTATCTGCATCCCTTCCACCCACCATGTATTAAACTCATCAAAAGTCTCTGTATGTAATAAACATATTCATGCTATGAAACCACAATGGTTTGTTTTTTTTCATATCTACATTATATCCCAAAATAATTCTAAATGTGAAAAAAATTGTTTGAATAATGCATCCAAAATAATTTCAACATAAAGATTTCTAAATTTGTATACTTTAATTTTCCACAATATTTTGTTACAACCTTCTACGTAATTTTAAGCAAATTGGTTGTGTTGAATGGCAATGAATGATATATTGCAAACCTAGATCAAATATATGGTAGTTCACTATCATACATCTTACATGATGTTATAACATTAGTTATAAATCTTAGTCATAGAATTTTGTACCATCAAAATCCATTGTATTCTTAGTTTGATAAACTATAGTTCTCATAAAAATTCAGTCAGCATAAAAGTCGTCTAATACCGACAAATAATATCTGCACATGAAAAAGCTAAAAAAAAAAAAAAAGACGGCAAGGCAAAAAGAGGGTCGTTAGATTGTGACGGTTTTGTGAACTAACTATGAAACGCTCGCACAATTAATGAAC